CAGAGCGAGAAAACCTGCATCCGCACTCAAATTTGAAAAAAACCCTCATTATTAAATTTTCTCATTATTTCGAGCGTCAAGTGGTAATCTCCACGAACGACGTCAAATTCCTTCACCTTGGGATCGCCAACACCTTCAGTGCAATCCTTGCAACCATCCTTATGAGTTTTGTTGTTGTCCGTGGCCAATTAGCTCCTCGATATCGAGATGGAAAAATCAGTGATTATCAGCGTCAATGGCGTATCAGCGTCAAATCCTGTTTGGAGCGGAAAATTAAAAGCGTGGCCCGTTCTTGCTTTTTTTTTGGAGCGTCAACTCTCGCTTTTGCCGCTGTGGCGGCAAGTTACTATGGAGATTCGGATTATAATCCTAGGATTATTTCGATTTTGCCGCAGTCTGACCAGGCCCTACATACAGGCTACAAGCATCACTTGTTCAGAAACACACAAGCTACAGTATATCCTTCCGCAGGCCACCACTATGCCTTTACACCTAGTCCTTAGTGGCGAATGCAGACCTCACAAGTGAGTCAGTGGAGCCTGGCCTGCGGCCTGACTCACTACTGTGACGTTGTGTTGTGAGGTCTTGTGAGTCATCAAACTAGTAGTACTGTACAAATAGTCTTCTTCTTTTTTGTACCGAGAGCTAGAATTAGAAATTTTAGTTTGTGCGCCGAGCTACATGTAGCTAGCTAGACCCGAGAAGATAAAACCGGAGAGGACTAAGTCTTGTACTTGTAGAGAAAGGCTGGTCGCGGTAAGACGTGTGGAGTAGAAGCAACGTATCTGACCATAGCTGCTAGCAATGGCTAGTGCGACGGGTGATGATTTCCACTTCAGGGATCCCGAGAACGATGCTAGCTTCGTGGATGTAGTTCAGAAATCCCTGATAAAAGTGATCGCGAAAAGACTCATTGACTCGGTGGAGGATGTTGCGAGGCAGCCAGTCGCCGGAGGTCAAACTGGTGGTGGAGATGCTGAAAGTGCTGCTGCTGGGGGCAGTGGCGATGGGCAAGACGCTGTGGATGGAGGCGAAGCAGACGCGGCAGAGCCTGGAAACGGTGCCGAAAAAGAGACGGGCCTTGTGAACATGCTAATCGCAGTTGTAGGTGATCTAATCCGGGACCATCGCCAGGAACTGGAGGAAGCTGTGGCCGCTCTCATGAACTATCGGGTCGACAAGCTGAGAGACGCAATCGGGAAAATCTGGAACAGGTTCAGAGGAACTAACTTTCGTTGGTACCACCTCGTGTCGTTCGTAGCTTTCTGTGCACTGCTAATATTTCGCAAGTCGCGCGCCGGCGCTGACGTGTTGCAGTTAGCCAGGACTGCGGCTGAATGTGTGTACGAGTGGATAGTGACAGAGTGGAAGAAGGCGTTCATCAACCTAGGCGGATGGGTAAGTGACATACTGCCAGCTGTTGCAATTGTTTTGTTTCTACACTGTGGCGGCGCTGGTGGTGGTGGCGTTGAATGTTGTTACGCTGCTTGCGTGCGCGTGTGTGTGTATGTGTGTGTGCACGCAGGCGCCCGCACAGGCGCAAGCGTGAAAGCACTACTCACAATGAGTTTTTGAGGGGGGGGGGGGGGGGGGGTAGTTTATGCGCCTTGTGTCTCTCGCAGCCAAAAACTGCTTATCACATATGAGTAGTCGCAAGGGCTGCAGTCGCTGAATTTGTGGACATTTCAACCGTAGCAACTTGCAATGAAGCACACGGCTTCGACTGGGATGTTTGCCGACAGGAAACTTGCAAGCAGCCAAAAGCAGGTTTGCACCACTGACGCTATGGTCACCTATGGGAGGCTCACAGCAAAAACCAGTACGATGACGACTCTCTGGCCAAATTGAAGATTTTCCTGCCCAGGGTTTGCAGCAGTTTTCTGAATATGCATCTTGAGATGTTATACAAATAAAAACAACCCGTTGATCCCCTAGCTGCAGAGAGTGCTCAATGTCAAGGATGGAGATTTGGACATAACATGTGATTATAATGGGTTGGCGCAAAAGGTCTTTGCCGTCCCTGAAACCAACATCATTCATTGGGGGAGGAGAGCCGAAATCCCAAGTCGACCTACGCTGTACAAAACACATGTTCATGCAATTTCCGTCGTCCAGCATAGCAAGCTGCCTTCATTTCAGGGGGAGGGGAAGGGCTCCAAGTACGAAGTGAACTACAGTCAACTTCGCTTATAACGACATTCGGCGGGGCATCAAAAAAGTGTCCTTATTCGCGAAGTGTCGTTATACCCGAAATCTCATTATATGTATGACAGTTGGATGGGACTTTGCTCTGGGCATGGAAATGCTGTCGTTATTCGCGAATTGTCGGTATATCCGCAGTCGCTATTAGCGAAGTTGACAGTATGTTCATTTCAGGGACGACAAACAACTTTTGCGGTGACCCCTAAGCGTACTGCTGAGTAGAGGCAGGAGGGGTGGTGTCTATTCCAGCTGCAGAAGCCAAGGGTTTAGCTGAAGCAAATCTGATCATAGTAGATCCAAAATCCTACTTTGCTCCTATCATGTGTTTTTTTGTGGGCGGGTGCCTGCGTGAGTGCACGTGTGTGTGTGTGTGTGTGTGTGTGTGTGTGTGTGTGTGGTGTGTGCCTGCGTGCACGCGTTCCTGCGTGTGTATGTGTGTATGCGCACGCTTGCGGGCGTGTGTGTGTGTGTGCACGTGCAACCATCATAATTATTGCGTGCAGCTTGGATTCTGCAAGTGTTACGGTGAAGGTGTTGGCAAGGGCCAATCGCAGCTGACAGAAGAAGAGCGCGCCAGGCAGGAAACTATGGCAATGATCGGCACGACAGCAGGGTACGCTCTAGCCTTCATAATCGTTCTCACCCCATGCTATTATTTATACCGAGATTTTGTCCGTATTCCCGAACCCGACTAGCTGCTGCGGCCCCGCTGCTACTGCCATCCTGATCCGTGTGGTCCGCATGATGTGGTGTGCTGTGATGTCGCGCACTTGTTGAACGTCTGGTGGTATTCACCGAGCGGCACAAGCCGCTCGTAGGCAAGCACTTGTCCTCTCTTGTCGTTCCACGGTGCGTTGAGCAGTGCCACACCCCTACACATCACGCGAGCCGGTGTGGTCGAGAGGTTTCCTCCTGATAACAGTTAACTTATTGCCGTGCACTGCCGCTTTTGCCACACAGGCGGGGACTTGTTTTCGTCTGCTTTGCTCTTGTTCCTATTGTTCTCGATGTTTTTGAGTGTTGACGCTGTCTTGTGCGAGTGTGCGTGGTGAGCTTCTTGTCCTGCCGCTGTTTGTCCGGGTAGCTGGTCTTCTGCCTCGCAGACGTCTTCCGTCCTGACTTTTCCTTGTGTCAGGCGTGTCTGTCGAGCGTCAATACATTTATCTACTGGAGATCCGGGCATGCGCCCATGTGTGTGCATGTCTGTGTGTGTGTGTGTGTGTGTGCGTGTGTGTTTGTGTTTGTGTGTGGAGACCTTTGTTTAGCACTAGTGGCATCATGCTACGTACTCTGCACTTTTCTAACCGCTGAAAGTTTGGTTGTCATCTCCACCTCTGTGGCCACTGCGCGTGCATACTGGTATTGCCATTTTCAAAATCTCTTTTCTGCTTTATTTTTCACTTCTACCATTTTTACCAGGGAGTAGTAGAATACCGGTATTTTACTACTCCCTGATTTTGACGTCCTTCATTGCTTCCAGAGATTTTTTAATTATGATACGAAAAGACTTTCTGTTGTACCGGCGATGCAACGATGTTTAAAAAATTTAATATCTGGACAGCTTGAGTGGGTGGTGATGGTTGGTGGGGGAATGGAGGGGTAAGATGTAATTCTGTACTATCCGCCTGATACCCCGATGCGAGTGTGCCCATGTGCAATTATGTAGTTGTCCAGCCACTCTCCAACTTAGATTCGGAAGGCCCCTGCATGAAGCTCTACGCGTACCGTATGTGTGGTGCATCCTGGTCAGTTCCTCCTTTTCGCTTATGCGTGTGTGTGTGCACGCACGCGCTCCAGAGTCAAGACCGTACCGTGCATGATCTCGGAGTATCCGGCCAGCCATCCCGGCACTGACTGTTCGGTGTGGTTTCAACAGGCAACGGACACACCAGACAGGCAACGGACACACCAGACACACCAGACAGGCAACGGACACACCAGACACACCAGACACAACGGACACACCGGACACACCAGACACACCAGACACAACGGACACACCGGACACACCAGACACAACGGACACACCAGACAGGCAACGGACACACCAGACACAACGGACACACCAGACAGGCAACGGACACACCAGACACACCGGACACACCAGACACAACGGACACAACGGACACACCAGACACAACGGACACACCGGACACAACGGACACACCAGACACACCAGACAGGCAACGGACACAACGGACACACCAGACACAACGGACACACCAGACAGAGGCCAAGTCTTCACATTGTAGTATTTCTATGCTCGTTCTCCTCGGTCCGGTCCGGGGCTAGAGCATGACCAGTGCAACGGTGTAAGTAACTGCTAACTACGAACTCATCATAACCTCCTAATATTCCACTGCATGAAATTATAATACTGTCGTGGACATGGAAATCCGGTGGCGCGTCTAGCGGCCCCAGGGCGCTGGCCATGCAGCCGTGGGTAAGCGGTACATATGCGGTGCATGCAGCGCGCTGGTCGAATCGGATCAGCATGACACTGCGTGCAACGACGTTACGTTGCGTACGCACTGAGGGCGCCGGCCCCGGTCATTCTACTGGATTTCCATGTCCAGGACAGTAGCAGACAGACATTTCAAGCATGCGTATGCCACAAGGAACATGCCATGTGGTTCATGCATAAGAACGTCACGCCTGTGATGAGAGAGAGAGAGAGAGAGAGAGAGAGAGAGAGAGAGAGAGAGAGAGAGAGAGAGATCCCGTCAATAGCAGGCGGATGCGTCTAAAGACAACACGCTTACACTACACTGACATGTCCACCAAGCAGAGCCAGAAAATGAAGTCTGTAGTCGTATCGAAACACTTGAGGTACTTGACTGAATACAATAACTTAGCTTCCCTGTGAAGGTGATGCTCTTGTGAGATGAATTCAGCAGAATAGCTGCCATAGACAATCAACATTCAGATACTGCATCCGCTCAACAAAACCGGGAATAAAACCCGTTACTAAAATACCGCTAAAAAGGATCATCAACACTGAACTGCTGCTTATGGATGCACTAATAAGCAAGCAAGGGCCCCCCGAGAGGGGTGCATGGTAGTGAGATAGTATGACTGGTGGCGAATAAATAGATGACCACTGGAATGATTTGTTGGACGCCTGTGACGAAATACTGCGTGTGGGCCGGCGGCTCAAAATCAAGGGTTTGGCGAGGAAATGGTATGATTTCGGCACAAAACCGTGGACATATTGTAGCGATCATACTTCAGAATGTTGCGTCAACTCCACAACGAATGATATTGTGCCATAGTCGCATAACCTTGGCAACAAGGTCTATAGAGTAGGGATTATCTCCGGAGATATATATGTATCCAGGGCAACGTAGAGCAGGAGAGAGAGAGAGAGAGAGAGAGAGAGAGAGAGAGAGAGAGAGAGAGAGAGAGAGAGAGAGAGAGACAGAGAGAGGGAGAGAAAGAGGGAGAGAGAGACTGACCCGGTGAACCACACATTCAAATATAACAGAACACAAACTCAAGCGTGCGTGCACACACACACACACACACACACACACACGGTTCTGACCAGTGTAGCCAGACAGCAGGACACTCAACCCCACACAGTCGGTAATGCCGAGCAAGACTAGACCAAACTTCCGTTCACTCCGTCATCCTCGTCGTACTCCAGGTCAGCGCCGTATTCTGACGCTCTGAGCGCGTACTGTGCGCTAAACGCTGCTCGGCTCTTCTGCGACGGTATCGGCAGCGTCTTTTTGTGCTCTGTCGTCTTGGCAGTGGTAGAAGTCACATCAGCAGTAGTGGTAGTTGTAGTGACAGGGCGTTGGTTCACTAGAGGAGGTCTGTTCGCTCTACGGCTCGTCTCGGCAGAAGGCGTGCTTCCACTACTGCTGCTGGTGACGGCGTTCGCCGTCGCTGCTGCCTGCTTGCTGCCACTGGCGTCGGCATATAACCGCGGTCGGACTGCGGCTGTGTCTGACGCTGGTGATGGCCTGGTGTTGGTAGCGGGATGTGGGGCACTGCTAGCGGCGGTGGTTGCGTCAGACGGCGGCGCGTTATCCTTACTATTACTGCTAGCCGATTGCTTCCGTTTGTTGGCATTCTGAGCTGGGTGCCGGCCCTGATGGAGTATTAGACTATCTACGTGTGTGTACGATTGCTCTTCCTGCTCCTGGAGATGTTTGTCATTGCTAGTAGAAGTGCTGTGTCCGGCGGCCGGCCTTACGCCAACGACTGCCGCCATTGTCCCCGCCTGCCCCTCGTTGCAGCCACTGCCTCTGCCAGAATCATTCAGAGAGACCGAAGTACCGCTGCTGCTGCTGCTGCTGCTGGAATCCGGTCTTGACGATGTCATTGATGATGTCACTGATGGTACAATGGATGATGTCATCAGTGCTGCTGCCTTCTTGCCCTGTCGCTCCTGCAAGAGACGGAATTTCTCGTGCGATGACGAGCGTCTCGGCGGAGGAGGTCGTTCTGTAGGCGGTGATGCTGGTGGTGGCGAGGACGATGGCGATGTTCGAACTGCGGCTGTAATCGGCGCTGTGCCCTCGACTGCAACCACAGTTGCCGTTGCAGTTTCCACTGGCATTGCTTTCGCTATTGTATCGTTGACCGGGGTCATCTTTGCAAGCATATCGTTGACCGGGGTCATCTTTGCAAGCGTATCGTTGACCGGGACTGCCTTGGCGATAGCATCGTTGACTGGGTTCACCTTGGCTGGTGTATCGCCGTTCACCGCGGTTAGATGTTGAGTAGGTATTCGGAGACCGTCACTGCTATCACCGCCTTCATTACTCTCCAGCGACAGCTCACCCGTCCGTTCCCTCACCGCGTCGAGCATGACATCATTCATTCTCCGCGCCGCCTTGGACGCCACTCGCAAGTCGTCGTCCACGGCGACTATCTCGTCGCCCAGGGAGGCCAGCTGGAGTTGGCCGTGTGCGAGCGCCTCCGTCTCCACTTTGATCTGCTCGTGCAGCGCAGCAATTTCGTCTCTTAACGCTTGAGCGGAGTCCTGAAGGTCAGTCGCCGCCGTTGCTACGGCTGGGTCTGCGGTGTCCAAGGCCAGGTCCCTTGGACTGGCCGTTAGTTCCAACAAGTCGTCGTCATCTTCGTTGTACGGTATCAGCTGAATCACACCCTCTGCGTCTACTATTTCTTCTTGCAGGGCAAACTCTTCGTCAAACATCTCATGTATTCTCTTCAGCTGTTCCCTTTCCTGATTAATGAGACTGTCGATCTTCGCCTGCAGTCTTTCCTCCTCTAGCCCCCACGATTCAGCCAGCGATTCCCGCATTTCGCGTACAGGGCAGTACGCAGACCTGCACCGCTGCACACATCGCCACACGTGTCGCGACGCGTAGCGCACGCTCTGCTGTTGCTTCCTGCGATGCTTCACGCCGAGCGCCAGCCGCCGTCTCGACCGCTCCACCGATCGACGCCAGCGCACGCTGCGCGCCTCGACGCAGGATAACGGGCGCAGCTCGAAGCGCACATCTCCGACAAACTCGCCCCACTGTGCGAGCAGGGGGAGCACTGGTTCGTCATCCTTTACGAGTCGCGACGAGCTTTGCCAGCACTCCCAAAGGTAGAGAAGCGGCATATCTGGCAGCTCAACAGACTCCAGCACAGCAGCGACTATATCCGAGCAGCGAGTGTCGTACGCCAGACCAGAGACGAACTTTTTCTGGCCAGTTGGAAGAATGATGCAAATCTCATCCATCTGCTCCACGCTATCCACAGCCATCGTCGCTATCTACAAAGAGCGGAGGATGTTTTGCAGCGTGCTGCATGCACGGCACAACATGCACGGTAGCTCGACACTATCACGATGTCCCTAGCGCAGGAGCACGCGGATCAGATGAACGCAGGAAGAAGCAAGTTTTTTTTCAAACTGCTTCTCGCAGCACTTACTTTGGTGTTACATGCTAGCGGGCATTGGCGACGGAAAGCGGAAAACATGCCTTCTGTTCCAATGCCGCAGCGATAAACATCACCTGATTGGGGCTGCGCCCAGCGCGGTGCAGAGTGTTGACAAATGGAACCCTCTGCCGCCGTCCCCCAACACTAGGTGCGATCTACAAACTTCCTGAGCGATTGAAGCTCGAGTCCAAGGACTCAACGCCTTTCTCACCACCGACCTCGCCGTATTCAGCCAGCGAGCGATCCGATCAATCAAAGAAACGACATGTGCATGCACGAGATTGACACTACATTGTACTACGACTACGACTCGTAGATCTGCGAGTCCAGTCTCCAGCCGATCGAAATCTCAGTGCCTGCCAGATGCAGTATTTGGCACTTGCGCCTACCCAGCTAGGCCAGGCCAGACGGCCCAGAGAGACCTGGGTCTGTACTTGTCGTAAGTAATAGTTGCGTACTGGTTGATGAATGAGGAGCTACATGATAGTAGTGATGTACGCAAAATCTGCGTCTCGACGTCTCGACGGTGATGAAGCCTGAAGTGAAGGTAGACAACGTGTTGATTTGCCATGTTTACGGGTGCATGGACACAAAGGATATGACTGGATGGACACGGTATTCTGAGCATGGACATGATGTATCACGCGAGGCAAGGGATCGTAGATCTACCAGGGACCGGGAGTCGTTTCGATTGCGTATCGGAGCTTCGAGCTTCGATAATTATAACAGTGTATACCAACCCGAAATCGGGTTTTCCTTTGCTCGAGAAGGTCGATTGTACGTACATGTACATGATTGTGTACCTAGTACCTGGCAATCATCTCCCAACATTGACCAAGTAAGTAATATCAGTTTATAGTACTGTACCAGCAACATTCTGAATTAATTATTTTGCTTTTTAGTGGTTTCTTTCTGCTGCGAATAACTCTCCGTCTGAGTCACCATTTTCGGGCATGGCAGATTCTCAAAGCGAAAGAAGAAAAGATGTCTTCAAAGAAAGGGGCCTGGGCCAGGGAGTCGTAAAATACCCCGGTATTTTACGACTCCCTGGCCTGGGTGATAAGAAAGCAGCCCGAGCCGTTGTCTTCCGAAAATCAATACAAGTCATGTACAACCATTGTACACTGTATAATAGTACAGTGTACTAGTATTATCAAGAGTACATAACCCCCCAGAGTGTGCAACGCCTGATCCAGCTCTGCATAGGGTCTTGGTCGAGCGGAATCGGATCTTTGCGTCATAATACCGTACACATCTGAGGGGAACCCGGGGAGTCGCGGGTACTCTTGGATCAAAAACAATGGTGCCCTGCCTCGAGACCGGCCTTGCGCTGGTGTGAAGTGTACGCATGACATCAGAAGATCCGATTCCGCTCGACCAAGACCCTACACACAGCTGGATCGGCGTTGCACACTCTGGGGGGTTATGTACTCTTGGTATTACTACAGACTGTGCTGGCAACTGAAATCCGACCCCCTAGCGGTGCGCTAGCCGCGTTAGCGATTCGTACGAGACGCTAGGGGGTCGGATTTCAGTTGCCAGCAGTGTATGTGTGGGGTTGTGTAGGGCTACCGGCTACCGGCTACCGGCTACGGCCTACCGGTGTGTAAACCCTTCATCCGTCCCGGATCCCCAAAGGCTAAAATGTTCTAGCGCGTGATTTCAGTAAAAAATACTTGCCTTCGAACTAACGTCTGTGCATGTGGTGGAACTGGAACGTCAAGGATCGAGGAAGTAACGTTGTTGTTGTCTAAATAAAGCCAAACAGCAACAACAACAACAACAACAACGTAACCGTTACTTCCTCGATCCTTGACGTTCCAGTTCCACCACATGCACAGACATGCACAGCTACCATGGCTACAGCTACCATGGCTACAGCAGCCTCACAAGGCATGCAAGCAAAGACTAGTGTGTGGTCCGTGCGTGCATGACGTGAGTCTGTGCTGAGTGCATACCGTAATTCCGCGCATATAAGCCAATGGGCCTATATCCGGATATAAACCTTCGTTTATAAGCCCATGGGCTAATAAACAGACACAAATGCAACTCGCGTGTCAAGTAGAATTTTTCACAATATGGACTCTTCCTACCATGGTACAGCAGGTCAGTGCAGTTTACCAGTAGAGTTTGGTAGACCCACTATGACCACGGACTTGTACTTTTCGTGAACCTTCAAAATTCGAATATTCGCCCATGGGCTAAAAAACTAACATGTTTTACTGGATATTATTTTAATCCCCAAACTGCATTGTTTCACATATAAGCCCATGGGCTAATGGGCTTACTTTATTATCTCTAATATAAGCACAGTCTCCAATAATAGCACGTCTCCATTAATAGAACACCTTGGGGTGGCATTCAAAAAATAAAGTGCTCAGTCTCCATTATAAGCACACTGTGTAAATTCATTATCTGTACCGGCGAAAAACCCTGAAATGTGTGTGTCTGACATGAATTTGGCATGGCAACAAGCCTCTGAAAAGAGGTTGAAATAATAATGGAACAGTCTCTAATAAAGGAACGTCTCCAATAATAGCACGGGGCGGAGGTACATTGAAAAAATAAAGGACCGTGCTTATATTAGAGATAATACGGTATATGCGTGGAATTACGGTAACGCTATGCATGCAATGACTGACAGTCTGTGTCTTTGTCCGCATGCATGTGCATGCATGTACATGCAGCAGTTCCGTTCGCCTGTTCTGACTTCTTATCCTGTCCCGAGGCTGAGTGCAGGGTTGCAGTGAGGCACTTGCCCGAGAGCAACTACTACTAGTACTAGTACAAGACTTCAAAAGTCATGTACATGCACGTCGTGTAGTCTACCGGCATGGTGCACCTGGTCACTGGTTACTGGTGTGGTGAGATCCACTGAGTATGTACATACATCATTACATGTAAATACTGCACGGGCCATGATTCTGATGATGACATGATTCTGATGATGACATGATTCTGATGATGACATGATTCTGATGATGACATAATTCTGATGATGAGTGAAGCGCATACCAGTAGAAACAAGTTAGTTCCCGTATGTCACGTGATTGTCGCCTTGGAGTCGACCAATGACAGATCAAACTGCGCGGGCTGGAAAGCGCGGTCCTGCCTGCCCGAAGGTTATGGAACTGGATCCGTTCCTGCCCGTCGTCTAATGACGACGGGCAGGAACGGAATCCACTGCGTTCATTGCAGGGGCGTCGGACACGGTACGGTCACTACGGTATTGACCGTACCACGTCATGCCCCAGGTACCCTGTGAATCAATAAAATACACTGCTCATCTGGGATGTAAATTTCCAAAATTTTCTGCTTAGCCACCACTCTCGCAAGAGTAGAATTGTACTTCAGATGGCTGACCGTACACACTAAAATACCCTCCGACGCCCCTGCACTGGCTCGCGAACTTGGCTTGGGTGCACGCGGGAAACACCCTCCAATCATTCTAGGGATGTTCCGAACAAAATACAGGTGGAATCCTGATAATTGGAATATTGCTTAAATTATAGAACATAAGTTAGACTGAGTTTCTTCTGCAACCGATTTCTACCAATACGATTTCCGTATAACAATTTCTGAAAATTCGAACCTCGAACTGGGTATGTCCGGTTAATTAGAAGTCCCACGGAATCCACTTACATAGAACGTGTGTGGGATTTGTGCTGATAATTCGAAGTAAGCAAAGCATAATATTAAATAGAAGTTCACTTTATTTTCTGCAAATCAGTTTGGTTTGTGCATGCGCAGGCAGTTCAGTGTCCCCTAAATCTGTGCCTGACGTGCGTAGTGCAACTCTGTGTGTCCATGCCCGGGGCATTTTGACATACGTAATGCGGTGTTGGTACATGTACACATTTGGATAATTAGAATGTCCGGATTATTAGTAGTTTTTTCCTGGCATTCTGGGGTTCGAATTACCAGGAATCCACCTGTACAATCATGTAGATCGATTGCCGAAGATCACCATGCATGTGTACATGTGCAGCTTACATGTACACTTCACATGACTATACGTATTATTATAACCTAAGGCTAACACTGGTTCAAAACCAGTACATGTCATGTATCTGATAAACCTTGTTATAGTTCACGCGTATTGTTAGTTTGACAGCATGAAACAGTGTCCTCCACCCTACTTCATGCTGTCAATCTAACAGCAATATGCATGACTGTCGACTGTAAGTATGCACTGTACATGATGCTCATATCATATTTCGAACAAGTGTCATGTGGTGCGGTGAACTGGTGTAGGTGTTGTCTGTTTTGAATTGAGTTTTTTTTGTGCATTTAGAACTGCTGTCCAATAGTCAGAATTACCCATTTAGTACTCATTAGTGTCAAGGTCTCAAGGAACTGCTCACTGGAGTCACTGAGTCACTCATTGTAGTGTTCAAGACTCAATACTTCAAGAGTCATTGCTGTGACATCATTCCTGTGACATCATTGTTGTGACATCATTGTTGTGACATCATTGTTGTGACATCAATATGCAATGCTGACAGTCAGCAGTACACACTACACAGCAGGTCAGGCTGCCTGTCAATGATTATGTGCACATGACATGTCAGTATACACAATGTACATGACGTACATGATCACAGAATGGCAATCAGACATGATCACAGAATGGCAATCAGACATACCGTAATGTAATTGTTGCGTATTAACCCCGGGCTTATTCCCGTAGAAGCTGGTGCGAGGGCTAGGCATATTCACACCATGCTTCTATTCAAACCAGGTATTTCTACATGTATGTGTGTCAACACTAAAACCAGGCTTACATGTACAAGTCATGATTGTACATGTACACTGAAAATCAGGCTTACATTTAGATCTACATGTATGCCCTTGAGCAGATACACATACACACGCACAAACAAACACACATACATACACACGCACAAACAAACACACATACCGGCACACACACCATGTACCATTATACATGTACATGTGCATTGTTGTATGCCCGTCGCAATCAAAGCACGCAAATCTGCAAATGCTCTGGATGTGCTCCCACAATTTTTCTCTTATAGCAACAGAAATCCGAATGAAACATATGGAGACTAGCACCAGATAACTACCAAATCCACACAACTGGTAAAGCCATGTGAATCAATCCCCAATGCACACCTGGTGTACACCACACAGAGCACATCGGAATAGGACGGCCGAGACAGTTACCGATGGCCACCGTACACTATAGCCAGTATGCGTGCACACACGCCTTGACCTTGCCCATTGCGTAGCAATGATAGCGCATTGTTATTTTCTCCAGTCCACGACAGAATGACTGATGGCGTTTCAGGTCGCCGCTTCGACGGAACATGCAGCCGCAGGCGCAACCGTAGCCAGCAGCAGAGGGTGCCTTGGGTGGTCGACGGGCAATGGCACGCCACTCCGGACGGTTCTGGGCTGCATCGTACCATCCACATGTTGCACGCACACACATGCACATACACACACACACACACACACACACACACACACACACACACCATGTACCATGTATACGCCCATCGCAAGAGAAGCACGCAAATCTGCAAATGCACTGGATGTGCACCCACAGATTTTCTCTTATAGCAACGGTAGCGAACAAGATCTGAATGAGACAGATCAAGACTTGCGCCAGATAACTGTCTAATCCACACAACTGGCGAAGCCATGTGAATCGACCACCAATACACACCCGGTCTACACCACACTGAGTACATTGGCATAAAACAGCCAAGACAGTTACCTATGCACCCCCCCCCCCCCACACACACACATGCAAGAATGTAACCTAAAAGTTAGTAAAAACACAAGCAAATCCAACAACACTTTGATGTTGTAGTCCGCCAGGCAAGAGTAAGCTAGTACTCCATCACGGCCAGACCCAACCACATGACGAAATCCGACAGTAAGCCATTTTATCATGACAACGCGGGCACCGCAATAACACATTCTCCCACAGCAAAGCACTGTTCACACAACGTTCCAAGTAGTTGCATAATTATCATATCAACAGAAAGAGCCACTCTCAATATGTGGTGCAAAGTATTGTGAGTAATGGCCGGGCAGGCAGCATGTTGGATCGTATTCTGGAAACACAACTCCTTGAGCACTCAATGTGCATGAGATTAATGGATGTGACTACGTGGCAACGGGTATAGTACAAGCGCACACACGGCGCAGGAATGATAGGAAGACCGGGAATATCATCGGCTCAACTTCACGGCGGCAATGCAGCGCGGCTCAATGCAATACTACTAGTGCGCATACGGTAGAGCTACTAAGCAGCTACTCTGAAAAAAGCTGTGGATAATGAACAGGTGCAGATGTAAAGATGATGTGCTGGAGAAAATCAAGTCAACAAATTCTCAGCTCAACGGTATCGGCCGACAAGTGACACACACACACACACACACACACACACACACACACACACACACACACACACACACACACACACACACACACACAGCGCAAGCAGCAACGCAGCTATGCCTATGGTTGTAGCTGCCTGATTGTCGCTGGTGTCACCGAGTGGGAGAGCTAGGAGACCATGCATGCACCCCGGCACCACTACCAACAATAGCAGTGAATAGCAGTGAAGGCGAGAGCAGCGGAAGCAGCAGCAGCAGCAGCAGCAGCAGCAGCAGCAAAACCAACAAAAACACTACCACCACCACTGCCTCCAACCACCACAGCAATAACCACGATAACGATAACAACGACAACAAAAACACCCCGACGACGACAACAACAACAGCACCAAAAACAGCAACAACAAGGACAAAAGCGGCAGAAGACGCAGCCCAGCAGCAGTCATCCACTGCTGATCATGGTCTATTGCATGTGCCAGTTGATATGATTAGCACGGCGGGTATGTACACAAGGACACGTGCAACTAGAGTCCTGGAGATATAGGGGGTGAGTATTGGAGATATAGGGGGGGGGGGGGGGGGTGAGTACTGCAGAATGGTAGCAACGTAGCACTAATCATCACTCAATGCCCGCCACTCTCATTGGCCGATCTCTCTGACCACCACTGTCACTACTGTCACTGAAGCTGGAATGTTCCCCGGAACTCAATCTGTCTCTCTCTCTCTCTCTCTCTCTCTCTCTCTCTCTCTCTCTCTCTCTCTCTCTCTCTCTCTCTCTCTCTCTCTCTCTCTCTCTCTCTCTCTCTCTCTGTCTCTCTGTCTCTCTCTCTCTCTCTCTATCCCTCTCTCTCTCTCTCTCTCTCTCTCTCTCTCTCTCTCTCTCTCTCTCTCTCTCTCTCTCTCTCTCTCACACACACACACACACGCACCCACGCACACCCTTTCTGCCACCCCCTGTTCCTGCTAATCTGACAAAAAATAGTTAATGGCAACAGCACCGACAACAGCTGCGACCATGCCGACTCGCCATGACACCCCCTTAGTCCGTGGACCCTCTACAGAATCGTAGGGTATAATCTGGCCACTTTCGTCTTGAACTCCAATTTGAGGGATGAAACGGGAGAAGGCCTCTTCGAAACCAGCCTGTAGCAACACCAGCAGCACATGTGAAACAGAAACAGAAAGAGACCGGTTACCCTGATGGCCCGAGTGTTTGGTCGTCGAATGAAGTTTTCGGGGCTGAGGAGAATGAGAGAGTGTAATGGCCGAGGAAGAGTAGGGTGTATTGGAGCTGGGGTGGGTGAGGGTGCATTGGGGCTGGGGTGGGTGAGGGTGTATTGGGGCTGGGGTGGGTGAGGGTACATCGGGGCTGGGGCGGGTGAGGGCATATTGGGGCTGGGGTGGGTGAGGGTGTATTGGAGCTGGGGTGGGTGAGGGTGCATTGGGGCTGGGGTGGGTGAGGGTGCATTGGGGCTGGGGTGGGTGAGGGTGCATTGGGGCTGGGGTGGGTGAGGGTGTATTGGGGCTGGGCGAGGGTGTATTGGGGCTGGGGTGGGGGCTGGGGTGGGTGAGGGTGTATTGGGGCTGGGGTGGGTGAGGGTGTATTGGAGCTGGGGTGGGTGAGGGTGTATTGGGGCTGGGGTGGGTGAGGGTGCATTGGGGCTGGGGTGGGTGAGGGTGTATTGGGGCTGGGTGAGGGTGTATTGGGGCTGGGGTGGGTGTATTGGGGCTGGGGTGGGTGAGGGTGAGGGTGTATTGGGGCTGGGGTGGGTGAGGGTACATCGGGGCTGGGGAGGGTGAGGGTGCATTGGGGCTGGGATGGGTGAGGGTGTATTAGGGCTGGGGTGGGTGAGGGTGTATTGGGGCTGGCATGTGTGAGGTTGTATTGGGGCTGTCGTGGGTGAGGGGTGGCATTAGGGCTGGCGCGTGTGAGGGTGTATTGGGGCTGGGAGGGTCCGCTAGAGCTAGGGTGGGTGAGGGTCCGCTAGAGCTAGGGTGGGTGAGGGTCCGCTAGAGCTAGGGTTAGGGTTAGGGTCCGCTAGAGCTAGGGTTAGGGTTAGGGTCCGCTAGGGTTAGGGTTAGGGTTAGGGTCCGCTAGGGTTAGGGTTAGGGTTAGGGTCCGCTAGGGTTAGGGTTAGGGTTAGGGTGGGCGAGGGGTTACTTGTGTAGGGGTAAGTGAGTGTGTGTAATGCCAATGGACGAGGGAGAATGAGGGCGGGTTGGGGCAGTGGTGGGTGAGGGGGTGCATTGGGACTAGGAAGTGTGAGGCCGTATCCATGGCGAAGAGCGGTGTGCAAAGGGGCTGGTGATGCCCGAGGGCTTAGAAACATCCAAAAAAAGTTTGAACATGTTTGAAAGCAGTCTGTCAGTACAGTCAGACCTCGTTTATCCGGATCCTCTGTTATCCGGATCCTCTGTTATCCGGATCCTCTGTTATCCGGATCCTCTGTTATCCGGATCCTCTGTTATCCGGATCCTCGTTTATCCGGATCCTCGTTTATCCGGATCCTCTGTTATCCGGATCCTCGTTTATCCGGATCCTCGTTTATCCGGATCCTCTGTTATCCGGATCCTCTGTTATCCGGATCCTCTGTTATCCGGATCCTCTGTCATCCGGATCCTCGTTTATCCGGATCCTCTGTTATCCGGATCCTCGTTTATCCGGATCCTCGTTTATCCGGATCCTCTGTTATCCGGATCCTCTGTTATCCGGATCCTCTGTTATCCGGATCCTCGTTTATCCGGATCCTCGTTTATCCGGATCCTCTGTTATCCGGATCCTCTGTTATCCGGATCCTCTGTTATCCGGATCCTCTGTTATCCGGATCCTCGTTTATCCGGACCTCGTTTATCCGGATCCTCTGTTATCCGGATCCTCTGTTATCCGGATCCTCTGTTATCCGGATCCTCTGTTATCCGGATCCTCTGTTATCCGGTCCTCTGTTATCCGGATCCTCTGTTATCCGGTCCTCGTTTATCCGGTCCTCGTTTATCCGGTCCTCGTTTATCCGGTCCTCTGTTATCCGGATCCTCTGTTATCCGGATCCTCTGTTATCCGGATCCCTCGCCATCCGGAAGAAAATAGCTGGTTACCGATTCGATTATCCGGGATCCGGTTCCCTCGCCTATCCGGATATGTTTGTGGAAAATGGATGTGTGCGGTTAGGCGAGGTCTGACTGTATGTCGTATGTACACCGGGGAATCTGCACCAGCACACTTCGTCACACCAGCACACTTCGTCACACGTTGTGGCTATTCACACTTGAACACAGCACAATTTCATTCATCTTGGGCACCCTGTAACATCAGACCTTAGGGTCTGTTGGGAATGCCCAAGTAAAATAATAAAATACAATACAACACAGGCTGCACTGGTTGGTCACTTTCCCATTTTCCCAGACCATTGCACTCACTACTACCAAGAGTATAGAACCCCCAAGAGTATGCAACTCCTGAACCCTTTCTAAGGGGTTCGCCGACGGCGAAAACTCACATCACGTGGTGCAGTGTCCTAGTTGTACGTTTCCAGCCCGTTTTTAGCAAGCAGCGGAGTAATACAAAAAAGCACTCTCTGACAGAAACTCACTGCAAATCCCCAGCATGATCATGGCAGACATTCGGATTGCGCGCACGCTATCCTTCATTTGTACGCAGTACGAAACGTGCCTGAGACACATGATGTGAGTTTTCGCTGTCAGAGACCCCATATGCGGAGTTGCACACTCTTGGGCAGTCATACACTCTTGCTACTACATCAGGGCCTGCTGGAGAGCCGGGTCAGCCGGGTCACGCGCCCGGCTGGGGAACTGCACGACCTGGCTGAACAGATAACGCCGGGTCCAGTCTGACCCGGCTGAAAAATGTCTCAAACTGACAATGGATTCCTAAAAATTAAAATACCGGTATTTTACGACTCGCGGACCCCATCTGTTGCAAATCTAGCGCAACCATACACACACAGTCTACAAGCGACAGAAACTCGGCCAGGGTCAACTGGGCCTGGGGTCAACTGGTTCGAGCGCGATCTGGCCAGCGGCGAGCAAGAAGTCAGGACATTGAAAGTCGACGGGGCAGGCAGTCAAAAGCGTAACTTTGGCTATAGGCTATAAAGCTTTTGACACAGTTGCAAGTTTTGAGCAGGCTTTTTGGTTGTTTTTCTGCCGGATGATCTGACCCAGCTTGACCTGGCTGGCCTGCATGCGCCAGGTGCACTCTGACCGGGCTGTGTTGAATGTCTAGAGCAGGCCCTGCTACATGTAGCCCCCCCCCCCCCCCCCATCCATCCACATGGCGGGGGGGGGGGGGGGCTACATCATGACATGTGCAGTGCAATGCATGCTGTGAATGCTTGCATTCTCTGCTACTCATCCCCCCCCCCCTACACACATACACCTTCTCTGTCATCACCACACCATGTGCGAGCTTTTAGTGCAGAAGTCGTGGTGTTTTAGCAACAGTACAGCCCCATAAACTGGCAGGTGTGCACGCATGTGTGTGTGTGTGTGTGTGTGTGCATGGGTGCATGCACGCATGTGTGTGTGTGTGTGTGTGTGTGTGTGTGTGTGTGTGTGTGTGTGTGCATGGGTGCATGCATGCATGTGCACATCTGTCAGCCACCCAGACAACTATAGGCATGTGAACTTCACAGCAGCAGGAGCAGCAGCAATGCTGAGCAACAGCAATGCTCCAGGAAGGAAGCGTGCAAGAATGGGAACATTGTTTGCATACGCACTACTGCCACTAGGCAAGACACATCAGTGACACAGAGTGTAGTGTCAGTACTGACTGGGTGTTCATGGGAATGTTCAGACTGCATGTGTGCAGCACGACATGTACCATGTATGCAATCATTTATTCACTCTGGTGTTTGGGTTCAAAGCAGACTTCATGTAGACACATTGCTTTCTAGCTATATTGCTCAGCCTACACAGCCTGCCCACATACACACTACACAGGGGACTACATCATGACATCATGGAATACTGGGTATGATGTCATCGATAAACCTGGGTATGTGTGTGTGTGATGGGTCAGGTGCAGCATTTAGACCACAGCCACAGGCACAGGCGATTGGTCAGCCGCAGAAAGTAACAGTTTACACAGGTGAGGGCAGACTTCCCTACACTCACATTACTACAGCTTAGACCAATGGCAATGCATGTGTATGGGGGGGGGGGGGGGGGGGGAGTAGAGACTTCCCTACATGCAGTCACATTCAGGCCAGCCGGAACCTGTCCTGTCAGTCTGATTAACACTAACACCGGACCAACTTTGTAGCTACCGTGCCATGAATTAGGTATGGCCGGACCAGGTGAAAACTGCTTCTGGCGGTCCTGATATTACTACAGCTAAGACCAATGGGGGTAGACCTCTCGACAGTAACAGTCCTATGGTCTAGGCAAAGATGGGAGACGTCCCCTAACCGTAGCTTCAGGCAACAATTTCAGCTTGCCAAGCATATTATGACTAAGTGACTTAGCCACATGCTTGGCAAGCTGGACCTGTAACAATATTCTCCACACAACAGCTTTCAAGACAATCGCAGCCGCCAAGTGCATGGAAGATATGTTCTTGCTATGAACACAGTCCTACTGAGAAAGGTGCTAGGAACAATGCGTGTTTTCACGGTGACGGCGTGAACAAGGCGAGAACGCACTGTATGGGAAACAGTGCACCTGACCACGACCATAAACCGGTTGGTAGAGTTTCGGTCTTGCCATACACTAGTGCGTCGTCGCCTTGTTTCACGCTGTCACCGTGAAAACATGTTACCTACAGTTAAACCTGGTTTAAGCGACCACCCCACGGTGCAAGCAAAAGCGGTCGTTAAAGCCAGGTGGTCTTTAGAACCAGGTCCCACACTATCTGTGTAGAACTGATGGGGCATGGAAAAACGGTCGTCAAGACCAGGTGGTCGCTAAACCCAGAGGTCGCCTACACCAGGTTTTACCGTATTAGGCAAGGCTTGCATTGTACCATGAGAACAACGTGCAGTACCACCGTAAAGTAGTGCCAGAGCGCCCCGTCTCGCGAGAGCGCCCCACCTTGATTTTACAGCCAGAGAAAGGAAAATCGTATGGCAGAGTGCAACGAAGTTTGTACGATGTGAGAACCTTAGTGTACTAAGGTCACGCTTGGCAGGTTTTGTGTGGAGCTTGTGTCCTCTCGAAGGTACGGATTGACTGCAGAACGTGCTACATGTGTACAAGGTTCATGTCGTATGACCTACAGACAGCAGACAACCTCCACAATACGACCACGAACGGATGAGATGGTGGGACGCTCTGGCGGTACTTTACTCTACTAGTAGTGGTCAAGGCGCATGTTGCAGAACAACGCGGCTGGATACGGATTCATTTCTCTCAGTGGTGTAGACATGCCGTCGTCTGGCATGCGACACACAGCAGCTCCAGCACGATACCATCGCCTGTAACTATGACTACCGCTACGTTCATACACACATACACTTACAGCCGCGCCTAAAGAAATCCGACCCACACGCTTAAGCAGACCGACCCACACGCTAAAGCAGTGCCAATGTTCATGCGGCCCTCGAACGGGTTTTTCATCCGTGCATGATGTAATCGAAATGGAAAAGCGGCACTGCTGTTGACTCGAGGGTCGGATTTCTTTCTGCCCCATGGCTATGCATTGCATCAGCATCCTTGCAGTGCAGTGTTCAATGTGCCGAACATACACAGAGCTCTGCTCCACTGTAGTGCATGGGCAGCTTTTCTTTCGTAACTCCAAGCTTTGTGATTGAACGGTCTAGTCTGCAGAGGTGCACGTTAGAAACACGCTACACCACTGTTGTACGTCTACACAGCACCTGTCGTCACAAGGTGCATCCGCATGATGATGTCATTGCAAACAACTACGTAACAACGATATTTTTTTACGGAAAAATATTTTCTGTTTTCAATGATCAAGCTTTTTGCATTTTACTAATGGGATTCATTGATAACGGCGCAAGGGACCCACAACGCACAAACAATGGCGCTGACCACCACGCCAAGGAACAAACACGTACGCAGAGACAAGCGCGGTGCGCTCACGCCGGACACACGCGCTAAGACGCCGCACAGCGATCCACGACATACAAAAATTCTTACCCAACCGTTGTGTTCCGCCATCCATTGTGCTAATTTCGCATCGTAATAGCGCACGAACCAGGCGAGAACGCTCGTGATGAACTCAGCACCTAGACTCGCTTGCTCCATGCAATACAGCGCTAGCTCGCTGCAGAAGACAATAAGCGCGAGAATACGACCGTAGGTGATCTCCTCGCGGAACATGCCCTCCGTCACACCAAGAAACTGCGGATATGCAGTCTGTGCCGAAGGGCGCAGCTCCTCCATCATATTCTGAAACATGCCATCGTATTTTCTCTGAACGTCTTTCGTCAGGTGTAGCACGAGTAGATATAAATTGCTACCTTTGCTGCCAGGCGGCGGTCGTACTGTTTCTGCTGCTGCTGCTACTACTGGCTGCTCACGTTCCAGTCTTGGCTGTTGTCGTGCTGATGAACTTGCGTCTTGTACACCAGCAGCAGCGTTTGCCGTGGAGTTTGTGACTTCGGCGGCCGTGGCCTCGCCTCGCGTTCTCAGGCCTTCCGGTAGATCTACACTGCCCGCTTGCTCCAGATTGTACGATAGGATGCCAGCGATGAGACGCTCCGCTGTTAGCGTGCACTCCTCCTTGGCTCGGTGCGGAGAGGATGACGGATTCGCTGCTGCTGTTTCTTGCGTTGCCGTCGATTCGTCTTCCCCTGGGGCACCAAGGCGATGGCCGTTAGTTCTGCTCCAATGGGAAGTAGCCATTACAAGGAGAAGTTAGCACACCAACACACAAGAATGCCTCGGACGTTCAGTTTAGGCTAGCTCGATTCACAGCAGCAAGAATCTAGATGCACACACGCACACGAAAAATGCACATCGGGACGAGCGCCTTTGAAATTTTTTTCTTGCTCTTGTACACAATCAGATCATCCGTCTCGTGCACACGCCAGCGCCAGCAAAGGGAAGGCTAGCGGCTATGCTAGGCAGCATGCTGCACCGCCCTCACGGCTCACTGAGTCTGTACACTTGTCAGTGCAGTGTACATGACTTGTTGTATGCTTTCCCAGGCCAGGGCCGGGCCAGGCCCATTATACTTTAGTATGCATGATGCATGTCAGACTGTCAGTGCCCTGCCCTTTTTTTTTTTTTAGTTTTGCCTGGACCGGTACATGCAGATCTACATCTACCCTACGTCGCTCGGACCATGGCCTGGGCATGGGCATGGCTACACCGGGTAGTACACTGTACTACCCGGAGAGTGCACTGGCCAAGCCGCCACAGTACTATTATGCTGCCAGGTTTTAGTTTTACTCATCAGACTACGCTGACTAGGTAAGGTAGTACGCGGTGACCGGTGTGTGCTGCATGCCGGGAATCCATGGTTATGCATGAGGTGGTATGTTCATGGCACTTCATGCATAACAATGCATGCCTGGTACAGTGCCAGTGCACTAGCCACTACCGGTAGTACTACCGTATTTCCCCGTTAAAGTAAGTACACTCGAACGTCTCATATCCGGGCACCTTGGGACCGGGCACTGCCCGTATCTCGGATTTGCCCGTATCTCGGATTTGCCCGTATCTCAAGGTAACCCATCTACCATGTATCATATCATTTTTGAACAGGTTCAATTTACACATATTGCACATGTTCAGGATACAAAAAGAATCCATTGGTTAAACTGTGTGGATTGCACAGGTTGGCAGTGACAAATAAGCACTTGCGCATACAAAAAAAAGTTCAAAACCCCTAAATTCGAAGCATTTTTGCCATAGGAACCCAAGCTGAAGGTGCCCGGTAGAGAGACGTGCCCGTATCTGAGGCGTCCGGATAAGAGACGTTTGAGTGTAGTTCTCCCCAATGGCAATGGCAATGTCTTAGTACCCCCCTATAAAAAATACACTTTCCATTGCCGAGGTTATCACCCCGAAAGACAATTCCCCTCGAAAGATAGTAGTTCGTACCCGTCCTACATGTACAGACACCGTACAGTACATACATGTACAAATGAATTTGTGGGGAAAGAGATTAGAAAATTAAATGCGCTCTCCGTTCTTAGTTATTCAGCTGATTGGGACGGTGGACGCTTTGCGTAATATGGATATCGAATTCCGATGAGAGAGAGAGAGAGGAGGAGGAGGAGGGACTGGATCATTATGCACGGACACGAGAGTTGCGCAGGCTTCCCACTGCGTGTCATTTACCCCCGATAAAAAAAGTACTCCCCGAAAGATAGTAAGTAAATAGGGAGGTTCTGCTCTACGTTTTGGGAACGCGACGCAAAGAATCACGCGAACTTTCTTCGCGTTCCCGTAACGTAAAGAAATGCTGTTCTGCTCTACGTTTCACATAGAGAAGTCACGTGGAATGTGTACTGGGAATTTTCCCTTCCATATTTGGCAGTTTTCTGCATGCAGTTGATCGATACCCAGCAAATCCGTACGCATTTTCTCTGCGTGTGCCCCAACGTAGAGAACCCCATCTCCGCGTAGAAATCTGGAGCCAAAACACGCGAAGCCGTAGACTCTAACCCAGACACCTGCTCTCTACGTGATTTCTCTACGTTTCACGTATAGCAGAACCTCCCTAATAAGTAAATTATCGTATCCGTTCCCGAAGGGAACTCACGACGGCCGCTAACACCCGATAAACCCTAGCGGCAGATGCAGCGCCTAACGGTGGGGGTGAGTGGGCAAGTCTCACAACCACTGGCACAAGTGCCAGTACCACCCCTGAAAGTTAGTACTCCTGTGGCTGCTAAGTTAGTACTCCTGTGGCTGCTAAGTTAGTACTCCTGTGGCTGCTAAGTTCGAAAGTTAGTACTCCTGTGGCTGCTAAGTTCGAAAGTTAGTACATCATACATGTACGTACTAACTTACGGGGAAATACGGTAGTGCCAGTAGGAGCAAGAGTCCATAACCCACTGGGTTATGGACTCTTGGTAGTAGTCATCTGGTCATGGTAGTGGTACTGGTAGCTAATAATAATAATTATAATAATAATAATAACAACATCAATAAGAAAATGGCTGAAAAGCGCTCGAAATAATATTATGATTTGAAGCGGGAGATTTCGAGGATTTGGTCCCTCACCCAGGTTGACGTGGTCCCTGTGGTTGTCGGTGCCCTGGGAGGCTTGGTGAGGGAGACTCCTCAATGCCTTCGGACTGTGCAGGGAGGAGACCTGGCTATCGTGCAACAGGAGGCTATACAAGGTTCGATTAAAATACTAAGAACTATCCTTAACATGTAGATGCACCTCTGCTGCGTTTGCATGTTCAATAGCTAAGAGACTTGAATAACGACTGATAAAGACTGATATTTCCTTTGTTACTCCCTTCATTGGTTGATGTATTTTGCCTGTCGCTGCAAATTCTTTATTATTGTTTTGATGTTGGAGTTTGGATTGAGTTTCTTTCCTTTCTTCCTCTTCCTTCAACTATTTCTTGTCCCTTTGGTTTTTAGGTTTTATTTATTTATTTATTTTTAAACACACGGCGAGGAGACAATAATTTGATAACCGCAATCAATAAAACTAGCTGAACCGACATTTGTGTACTTTATTCATGCAATGTAAAAACGGTGAAGACGATGTGCAATAAAACGATGAAAATATGAAGGAATGGTGTAGGGAAAAAATATATGGATTCAAACAAGTTTTCGTACAACACTCATCAGGAATCGTCGTTGTACTAAAGGACACTGAAACAAAAATTGAACTATTATAGAAAATCTAAGTTACAGAAATAACACTAAGAGCAACAACAGTGAAATTTACAAGTGTGAATTTTAACAATCAAAGCGAGAAATGAACAAAGGAGAAAGGAAGGAAAGACAACGTGATAACACATAACAGCAGTACATTACACCTAGAACATTAACGGCCAAGCTTGGCCGCACTAAACACGACACGTTACTTAAACAATTTCAACCCAATTATACTATCTTTCTGTACACACAAATTAGGCTTGTACAGACGCTGATAGATAGCTTCCAACACTTTTAACTGTAGTCCATAACCATGACGACCACGGCACAATACAGTGAACGAAGAGTCGGAATACGAATTGCAACAATCAGGACTAGCTAGCAGATGATTGTACACTGAAGACTTGCTACCACGAAACCTACGCACAACACTAACACTCTCACCGGCATTCTCACCATCACTCCCATCACTGCTCTCCGACTCACTGCTCCTTCCGCCGTCCGCTCCATCCTCCGCTTCCTCTGTACTCTCTCTGTCTCGTCCATCCCGCCTGACCGGGTCACATACTTCCACCTTGCGCACAACAACAAAGACCGAAGCGAGGGCGACCTAGAAAACAACCAATAACCACACAGCCGTTGCCTACACAACCCGCGGACCCTGGCTCACGGACTGTGCTTGCTCCGCCGTCGCTGGTGGCGGTGGGGGAGGAGAATGGGCGTGGTGGCTCATCGGGTCGGCTTGTGTCGCCGCCTTTGCTCCGGCCGTCGGTGGTTCCCTCGTCAGTGCCCCCGGCGGCTTTGGCTGAGGTGGTGCCGCTTGCGGTCCCGGTCCCACTGCCTCCTCCTGATCCTCCACCATCGGTTCTTGCGGCGGTGGAGCTTGCCAGTGGGAGACCACGAGCAACACTGACAGCTGCATTAACACTACAAATGCCGACTCAAAAAGACCCACCTTGCATATCAGTAGCTCCCACACCAACACCAACAACGCAATATACAGCAACCACAACTAATCCACCATCCAAGCCCACAATTGAAAGACCAAGACGATCAACAGCCAACTACAACAGAAGCTACGCACTCAGCGGACAAGGGCGAAGGGAGGGATGTGATAGCAGGGTGACGGCCGAGTTGACTTCAATGGACCCAGTCAGGCGGGATGGACGAGACAGAGAGAGTACAGAGGAAGCGGAGGATGGAGCGGACGGCGGAAGGAGCAGTGAG